TGATAGTGTGATGAGTGAGAGCTTTTTTCACTTGTCCAACCCTTGCCAATTTAAGCCCCCTTCATTACTGTGCTGGAGAGAAAACTAGAGGTCTGTGCCAAAAACATCTGAAAAGGTGGTTCTCTGATCTTCTCACGAACAATGTCTTGCACAATTTCCCCTAGACAGACTTAATATCTTACCAGTCTCAGAGTCTGAGATATATAAGGACAAATGTAGCATATTTTACATTTAAATCTCTTTGAAAACAAAAAGTGCTTATTAACTGAACCCAAACTAAGACTTTTTTAGTTGGTGCTGAGCAATAGATACACATTTTTAGACTTTCTGGCCACATTGTGGGATTTATCTTTCACCCAAAAGGCAAAGATAACATACTATTATAAAGTATCAGGCACTGCATTAAATTTCTTTTTTTTTCTTCCCCTCCTGATCTAAGACTGGAACTACAGTTTCAGCATAGAAGTCTCAAGAGGACAGTACACTTGATTGGAACCCAGAGACTTAGCTACATACACAGGAAAGGGTTCACACAGCAGTATGAAAAGAATAGAATGAAATAGAAATTAAATAGAAATTTGTTGTAGTTCCTGACATTTTGAAGGGACATGCCTCTGGACTTGCGGCAGCACCCAAGTTGGGAGTACCACCAGCATTTATATTTGCATATAGAGTATTTGATGAGGTCAGTGATATCACATTCATAGTACACTAATGACAAACATTCTTAATTTTAGCTAAAAACCATTCAATTTTCAACTTCCCTTTCCTTTCCCTTCCTATTATAGGCATGCTATCACTTTATGAAAATGACTATATACATGACATCAGCTGAGAGCATCAAAGTTCTCTTGAGACAAACTGCTGGGTGCCAGGTAGGCTTAATTGTTGGTCTTAGAATACAAGGTACTCAAATTCTTGTCTCAGCAATATGTCAAGCTACTGCATGCTAGAGCTATTTGGGTTTTCTTAAGAAGAGCAGAAACTATAAATATTAAAGCTTTAAATTCTAAATGTCTGCTGTATATGTTAAATTCTCATCTATGTTATGAACAATAGACATGAATAGAAAGAAAAATAGAATATATAGCAAAAGCATTAGCAGTGGTTATTTGGGAATAGTGTATAATTAGTGATATTTGTTATTTTATCATAGAATTTTAAATTATCAATATTTATGTTTGAAAAAAGCCATGTGAACATGAAATTATTTCAAAAAGAGTAGGCTAACTCTCAGTCTTTTTAGCTCTAAAAACAAATAAATGAATTAATCCACAACTACGGAAACCAGTGGATAAAGTTGGTGAGTGAAGATAGTAATTAGTGTCATTTATTAGTTTGAATGTCTAATATTTCCATCACTTAATGCAAATTAATGAGAACGTTGTGGTCATTTTGGTAAACAAAAAATGAAGATAAGGATAATGACTAATTACTATCATAGTAAAGTAAAGTAAAGTAAAGGCCCTCCCGTTGATCGTCGATTTGCTCGAGCGGGCCCAGTAACGTCTCCATTGGAGACTTTGTTGTTACTGTGTCTGGCATATCGAATACTCTCGGTAGCTTGCCGGGCTCTCCGAGAGGGGAGGAGGAATCGAACTCTGGTCGGCCATGTTGGCTGCGTGCAAGGCAAACGCCCTACCGCTGTGCTATCGCTCCAGCCCTATCAATTCATTTTTGGTTTGTTTTGGTTTTATATGTATAGTAAGGACAAAACTATATTTGCACAGAGATATAGTTGCTAATGGTAAAAGTTTTTTCAACTCAATCTTGCAATATTAGAATTTTTTTCATTTTCATTTTTATGGACATAACAGAAGAAGGTAAGGGTGAGGGTAGAGTATTTGATTTTTAAAACATGTTTAGAATTGTTACAATATATTTTTTGGTTTCCCTTAGCTCAAGTAAGTTAAACTGAGTTTGACCTGTCAAAATAAACTTCTTTTGTGAATTAATGTTTATGAAATGTTGTCCTTCCGTTGTTCATTGATTTGTTTGAGCAGGCCCAGTAACATCTCCATTGGAGACTTTGTTGTTACTGTGTATGGCATATCGAATACTTCACGGGTAGCTTGCCAGACTTTGCCATGCGGGCAAGATACTCTCTGTAGCTTGCTGGGCTCTCCGAGAGGAGTGGAGGAATTGAACTCGGGTCAGCCATGTTGACTGCGTGCAAGGCAAACGCCTTACCGCTGCGCTATCGCTCCAGCCCTAATGTTTATAAATATTTTAAAATATATACATTTAGTAACTTTACAGAACAGTTTCATTGGCATGGTCTGAAAGTACTAATTTAATGGAAGAATCTGTTCCACCCCATTCTGTGGGTACTAATATAGTATTTCTGAAGTCTATAATAATAGTGAATATAATAATGAATTTAGGGTTGTAGATTTAATCATTTACTGTACTCGTTGCTGTCTATGGTACCTTTCCAGTCTAGACAGAGAACAAATAAAAAGAAACAGTGTACAATTAAAAAAAAAAAACTAGTCTAACACAGAAAAATATAAAAATATAATAAATTTCTTTTAAAATTAAAACATGTAAGTTTCTGTATGAAAAATATAAATTAATACATTTGCTTTGGGATTTTTAATTTTGGACATGAATGCATAGGTTAAATGACAATGTGTCACATTAATTTTAGTATTAGACAGTTAAATAAGTATTTAGAAAAGACTTTTTTTGACATTTTTCAAATGAGTTTTAATAATCTGAGTGAACATGGGGTAAAAACTGCTGAGAAGGAGTGTTCACAATGTCTAGAACTCTCTAATTTCAGCAACCTCTGATAGAAAACAATTTCTTGAGGGATTCATGTTGAAAGATCTAATAAGAAGACAGGTCACTTTTATAGTCCCTTTATCTTCTTTTATAAGATCATCTCTTTTTATTCTTTATGAAAAACTAGAAAGGTTATTTTGATCCTAGGTATGTGAATAAGCCCAAAGAATTACATAGAAATTGTCAAATAACAACTTCAAAATAATATATCTAAACACTCCCTAAAGCAGTTTCCTATTAAATTCACTATTTGTAGGTCTTAATTTTAATAGCTTTGTTTAATTACTCTGTTATAAAAAAAAGAAGCTCCCTGACATTTTCCTTGAGCTTATTTTTATCTCTTTTTTTATATAGACATGTCATAAAATTTATGCATATAATCCATGACATTTTTTAAAATAACACAGAACAAGCATACATTTCATGGGCAAAGTTCTTTGGATATAGAATGACTTTTTGCTTCTGCATTATAGAGGCCAAAAATATTATGCCAGCAGAGAAAAAAGGTAAAAATCAAAAGTCAGAAAAAGATAAGGAAATTTTTCTTGGTTACAAACATTTTCTCAAAATTTTCAACAAAATGTTTTTATTTCATGGCAATAATAAAATATTACTTTGGGGGAGAAGTTTTATGCATATGGGAGGCAAATTATTCTTGTTCCTAGAAATACAAGGATTTTCAAGGAAGTTATCATATTTTAAAAGTCTGAGATTGAGTAAACCCATCTGGGATAACTGTGCATTTCACTAACCAATATTCAGGTATGAATATGGAAAAAGATTTATAGTAAGCAGAATAATTTGAAAATCAGATTGAATTGCATGAGACAACTATCTTAGTTAAAACAATTATTATACTCATCATATTTCCAAAATAAAGAACATTAAGCAAAATTTTTACAATATATCCTTTTTCATTCAATTTCATTATGTAATATGAATAAAACATTAAAAATTACAGTTTTTTATTCCATTCTTAATAAATTATTTTCTGGTGAAATATGAAAGTTAAACTTCATGAAAATCAATTATCTCATAAAATATCTATTGCTTTCCTAGTAAAATAAAGTTATTTTAAATTCTCTTTTCTAAACTAGAAATTAAGTTTTGAAAAGTTAGCTAAAAATAACTTCACATAACAAGTCAAAATAGAATTCATAAATGTAAGGCAGAAAAAGTGAAAGAATACACATTATAAAAAATTGACAAGAGAAAACAAAAGCTACAATTGCATTGCTTATCATTATAGATAAATTCATTATCATCTACATTGCTCATATCATATTCTAAATATTCCTAGTTTTTTATACCCATACAATGAGTAAACTGATTTTAAAAAATGAGATCCTTCTCAGAAGTTCAAGGATCTTGGGAAAGGGGTCTTGATGTTTGATCTTCTTGATTAAATTTGTAGGGGTTTATTTTGTTCTCTAATTGGACTTATTCTCTCATATGTTGAGAATAAATAAGTTAAGCGAATAAAGAAAGTTGCAACTAAAAAGGCAAATGCTTTACCCATGAAAAGATTCTTTTATTATACTTGTATGGTTACTTATAAGTAACAATACTTCATTTTTCACACTTATTCTTTATAGTGCAAGTAATTTGACAGCCAATAACAAGTTTTAAAAAATCAATCCATGATAGGTGAAAGGGCTAAGTGTCTTTTGCAAGCTACTAATTAAGAAAACTTAAACTAAATCTGATTATGAGAAATAAGTCCTGGTTTCTCTTTGAACAAATGCTGACTTTGTCCAACTATATTACTAGGTGTAAGACTGGTTTTGAGTCTAATTGATCAGTGTGAGACAGCACAGGTTAATATGGGTCAGCTGAGGCTGTCAACTATGTTCTGCTCTGATTTGCCACTGGTCAGGTGACAAAGTTAAAAGGGAACAAATCCTGAGAACAAAGCACCACACATTTGTTATGGTCCATTGACCTGGTTCTAACTAAAGAGATGAAACAAATGACCAGAAATCAGAGACAAAAATGACCTTGAAGTGTATACTTCATTGGCAGGTTTATATATGTAGACTCTGAGATGACATCAATTATAGTGATAAAAGCAAGGGGCATGTGTAAGAATGACACATCTAGGAATGAACATTGGACTCAACACATTTATTTTTAACATAAAAACATTTCATTAAAGAAGCTTCTTTGGAACTTGATCTATGTTTATGATGAACAAACTAGTAAACTTGACTGACCTGGCTGGACAAGGATCCAAGTTGCACTCTTGAAGCTTGGGTTTGGGTTTGATGTTCTCTGGGTAATAGTGACAGTACTGATCAGCAACTACTCGGTTGCTCCGGAGATCATAACACTCAGCCGATGTCAGCTGGTAACCTGCAGTGTCAGGTAAGTTTAAAAGCACGTGTCAGGGTTGGAGAGACAGTTCAAGTGTCAAAAGCACATGCTTTGCATGTCAGAGGCCTGGGTTTGATATCAATCTCTTTAGAATCCCCTAAACATTACACAGAGTGGCCCCCAACATGGAATTGGGGGCAGCTTCTTGCCAAGTGTGGCCCCTAAACAAAAAAACATGCACATCTCAACTCATTTCTTTTTTTTTTTCTTTTTGGGTCACACCCAGCTATGTTCAAGGGTTACTCCTGCTCTGAACTCAGGAATTACTACTGGCATTGCTCGGAAGACCATATGGGATGCTGGGGATCAAACTCAGGTCAATGGCATGCAAGGCAAATGCCCAACCCACTGTACTATCATTCTGCCCCTCAATATATTTCTTTATGTTGTCCAACTCTCTTACATTAATGACAACCCTCCCAAATGCTTCAGTTGTGTTCAGGGTACAAGATAGGTGAGAGCTAAATGCAAGATGCATTCATTTTCACAGAACTAAACTATCAGGTGTTTCCCTTAGAGATCCACTGAAATTTTAATATCTATATTCTATTTAATGAGCTTAACTACATACAGGTATGTAGAAAGAACTTCATGGTTAGAAATATTGCTGTTTATTTCTGTGATATAATTATTTCATCAAAGGAAACATTTAAACTAGAATTATGATTATCAGTGTTTATTATCCCCCAAAGTATGAATATTCTTGTTCCTAAGGCACTAAGGATCAAGCTCTCAAATAAATACATAAAAGTAAAATAGAGGGGCCGAAGCAATAGTACAATGGATAGGGTGCTTGCCTGGCACTGGATAGACTTAGGTTTACTCCCTAGTGTCCTATATAGTCCCTGAGCACCATCAGGAGCAATTCCTGAATGCATAGCCAGGAGTAGCACTGCAGCACTGTCCTCTCATTGTTCATCGATTTGCTCGAGTGGCCACCAGTAACGTCTTTATTGTGAGACTTGTTACTGTTTTTTGGCATATCTAATACATCATGGGTAGCTTGCCAGGCTTTGCCATGCAGGCGGAATACTCTCAGTAGCTTGCCGGGCTCTCGGAGAGGGGTGGAGGAATTGAACCCAGGTGGGCTGTGTGCAAGGCAAACGCCCTACCCGCTATGATATGGCTCCGGCTCAGCCAGGAATAATACCTGAGCATCTCCAGATAGGAGAGAGGTGTGCTTCCCTCCATCCCAAATAAGTAAAATAAAATAAAAATACAATACACCTTAACACTGTGTTCCTTGGTCAGTGTGGGGAAGAATGGTATATGGCACAGAATCGTGTCCTGCCAGCTGTCTTTGAAAATTGCTTTTACTATTCAACTTAAATGGATAGAGTTGAATACATGGATGATTAAATTCCCAGCAGTAACCACTATTAATCTCGCTTTCTAAAGGACTAAAAATAAAAATTATTTTACATGTTCAATTTTTTGCTTACCCCCATTTATTTGACAATTCATTTTTAACATTAAAAGTTTAAAGGCTTACCTTTCATGTACAAAATTCTACTGTGCAAAGAGAATCTTCTATTAAAAATCAGTGGTGCTGAATAGTACTTAATTCTATTTATAATGTGTTTTACTTTTCCTACCTGCATCTTACTTGATCTGTGGATTTGGTGGCTGGTAGTGATGAGAACTACTTAGAAATCTGGGGTAAAAAATAAATGCACATATGGAAGAATTTTTTATTAGCTTTTTTGTATCTTTCTACCCCTAGCCAGTCCCCAAAATATATTCTCACTGGCAGGTGGTCGGATATTTTTATTGCCAAATATGTGTTAGAAAGTCAGACCCAGAGTGGTTGAAAGACTTGCAAAATTTTTTAGGAAATCAGAAGGAGGCTTATAAACCAGATTTCCTGGCTTGAGGCTGTGTTCTCAGACCACCCACAAAAGTTAATTGTTCATTAAAGACCAAAAAAGACCTCTTAACAATTTACTGTAAAGATGAAAAGCATGGAAAGTAATGGTAAAAACACATGCTCCATTTAATTTTTGTTTTAAGAGCAAATCAAAGAGAAAATACTATTTTATAGGAGTAAATATACTTTTATTTTTCAATTACATTATACTCTAAAGCAGATAATTTTATAACAAGTTAATGACTTTATAATTTTCCATATAATACTTTTTACTCAAGTATAGATTTTATCAGGTACTTAAATGTGGCAAAAATATATAAATTCCAAATCTAAATTTTTTATAAAATAATAATTGGTCAGCTTATACATATTGCTTTGAAGCTATTCTAGAGTATGAAATGAAAATTCAGGGTAGAAATAAAATAACCAAAAAGTCACATAATTACATTTCTAAAATTTTATAAGGTACTTGGCGTAGCTATTTTTTACACTTAGCAAAAATGATCAGCCAGTTGAATTTGGAACCAGAAATATAAAAGGGAATTTAGAGGTCAGTTATTCTCAAACCTGAAGTGAGAGGAAGACAAGTTTATATGATTTTTAAAGAAAAATTTTGGAAAAATTTCCTTTTATCTACACTTTCTAATAGTTCAAAATATTGGAAACCACTGATCCAATGGGGTTGGGTTTATATGAGTTTAACATTAATTGCCTTATTACAGACCAAGCAATTATCAAGGTTATTAAAATTACACTCCAGAAGCAATTCTATGTGAAACTTCCATAGTAGACACATTGCTGAATTGCTACTTCTCACAAAACATGGTTTTCATTTAAAAAGGAAAGAAACCATTTCCTACTGGTCATTAATACATATATCAAAACAATATATTCTTATGAAACATCAAAGCAATTGGCAGTTCATTTTTAAACAAAGTAATTTTCTATTTAGGCAAGGTAGAGTAACTAAAAACATTAACTGAAAGGCTGAAAGTGTATTGATAGTTATTTAACATCAAGTTCAACTTTGACTACTTTTAAGCTAAAATAACACTATTCTTTAGAATACAATTTTCATTGGTTTATTCACATCATATAGTCCCAGATAATAATATCATACATACTTACTGCTTTACAACAATTTGTAGATAATCATTTTTCTTCATTTTGAGATACTATCCTTTTTTCTTGTCAAAATAATTGAGTGGTAATTTTATATATTAACTACCTAGAGTCATACAATTACAGGTCTATATGAAGCTGAAGTTGGGAGTTAGTTGATACACTAATTTTTAAGTAAATATACATATAATTTTATACTCTTTATAGGAGAAGAATTAAAAATGATTATCTACAAATACTGTCTCAGTTTGTAATGAAATTAAAGTATTCATATGCTGCTTATTACCAAACTGGAAAGAACTTTGGTAATATATGCCAAAAGCCACACAAATTCTGAAACTTACTCTTAAAAATTTATTTGAAGGAAATAATGGCAAAGTAGAAAAATACTTAGCTATCAATTAAGTTATTCATTACATTACATGAAAAAATTTAAATGAACTAATTTTCTCTAGGAATATGGCTAAACAATTGTAAAAATAATTAAATTATATAACCATTATAATTATGATCAGAAAAAGGGGGAAAACCCTTTACAGTAACAGTAAATGTTTATATATAAGTATATACACATACATATTTTAAATAAATTCTTATCTTCATCCCATACCATATGTATATGGATAACTCTTTAGGAACAAACTATTTTAATAAAAAAGTGGGGACCAAGTGGAATGTCTTTCAATGCATGGATTATGGCACAGGGTAAAAAATAATCAAGTTAATGGCCCCACTATAGTGATCCACCCCCACCCTCCATGGTAATAAACTACTTCCTTTAATTAAGTTACTATGGTTCTTTTTGGACACATTATGCTATATGACAGACTGACAAAACATTCTTCACTGCATTTCTGAATAAATACGTTTTCTTCAACAAGTAGTTTTTTTCAAGTGGAGGGAATTTCCTTAAAATCAAGCTCTTGCCAAACTATACTTTTTTTGTCATATTGCTCTTCCATGAAATCAGGAAAGAAATAAGGACAATTTCCCCCTTAAAGGACTCTACCAAGAGAAAATACTTTTGGGTGTTGAGACTGAGGTATCTGTCTGAGGAGGGGATTTGGCACCATTCAGAAAAAAAGACTTTCACCACTGCACAAAATAATTTCCTTCAGATTGAAGAAATTCTGCTATCAAACTAGCCCAGTCTCATCCAAGCCAAGAGTACCTAGGCTGAGAGAACACCATTACCTCCTCCACACGTTGCTGAGCAGGGAAAGAAATCTGTCTCTCTCCATCGGTGAATGATGGGCTGGTAGAAGATAAACTGAACTGTACTGTCAGCAGGTCCTGAGTTGTGGATCTATAGGAAACAATAATGAATAGGAGAAATTAGTAGAATTAAGCAGAACCTTCTCAGTCATTTGCAATTTTGGACATGGACATAGGAAATATGAATTATCTAAAGCAGGGTTATGGCCTGCATTGGATGGGAAGTGATGATGGCAAGTTCACTTAGTTTATTATTTAAGCAGTGAATGATCCCTGCACATACCATTGCTATCACCACTATTTCAGTTTCAGCAGAATATAGCTAGATCCTAGGAAGATCTCATCCTAAATTACTTAATCCTCTTCTCTCTTTTATTGCTATCCTTTCCCACATAACTGATAAAATTGTGTGGATTTTGAAATGTAGGTTCAGAAATAGACGATTTTTTTTCTGAGTATTGTATACATCCCATACATATCCTACAAAAGTTATTAAAAGGAAAGATTGTCTTTTCAATTTAAAAATAAAAAAGAGAGAGGGAACAAGTTGATAGCTCCATTGTCAGGGTTGCATGCTTTGCTTGTACCCAGACCCAAGTTCAAATCACTGGGTCCCCACTACCACAAGTAGAGCTCTAGACCGCCCCTCCCCCAAACATTTCCAGGGTGCATTTTGTGGTCCCTCGTATCAATAGGAGTGGCCTCCAGAATAGCTAAGCACTACTTGGGATCCCAGTCAGAATTTTTTAAAAAGAAAGTGTTAATGAATTAAGTAGCTTCCACTTAGACACACACCCGGAATTTCCTGGCAACTTAGTGATTCATGTGCATTTTACTGTGCAAAGTTACCAGTTGGGGCTCACTAAAATGCAAATTCCTGGACCCAAGCCCAGAGACCCAGGCAATATATAGATGATCCAAAATCCAAATCTTCAAATGTACCAATTTATATTTTAAAAGTTGTTTCTTCAAAAACCATATGTTTCTAGAAATCACAATAAGCCTTTTGAAAGACTGGTGTAAAGTGATCATTCTTCACTGATTTTTAGTAGTATAAGGTAATATATTCAAACTTAGAGAGTAAAAAACATCTAATAGGAAGAGCATCTTAATTTTGAAATAGAGGCCTCTTCTAAATATTCACATAGGCTTACCCAAGATTTCCACAAAATGGCTTTATAATTTTTCAGTTAGCATGTGAACCATTTCTAGGTAAGAAAATTGGAGGCCCTGCCAGTTTTAGGAGAAACTTCTGACCTTCCTTAATCAACTAGAAGAATATAGTTAGAAGCATTGTCTAGATTTGAGGTTCACAGAGTTATTTGGCCTAACACTCCCATCTTAAAAAAATCACTCAGTATTCCCTCAGAAATTCACAGTCTTTAAGCGAACAGGTGTCCATATCCCCCATACCCATTGCATCAGAAGCTGTTACTACACACCCTTCCTTTCGATAGTTTCAGTGTCCCTCCACAGGTGGCGCTATCAGTTGAGATTTGGGGTGACCTCTAGCAAATTTTTCTAGTGTGGAAGTCTATCTATGGTAGGGCAACTATCTAAGTACAGGACATCTGGAATTTTATTTCTATCAGTTCCCTTTCCCTTCCTTTCCTCTCTCCTTCCTCTATCTTCTCCTTCCCTCCCTTCTTCCTCCTCCCCCACCTCCAAGTTCCTTTTCTCCTCCTCTCCCCTCTCCTCTATTCTCCTCCCCTCCCCCCTTCTCTTTCTTTCTTCTCCCCTTCCCATTCCTTCTCTTTTCTTCCCTTCCCCTTCCTTTCCTCTCCCATCTCATCCTCTTATTTCCTCCCTCCCTCCCTCCTTCCTTCCTTCCTTCCTTCCTTCCTTCCTTCCTTCCTTCCTTCCTTCCTTCCTCCCTCCCTCCCTCCCTCCCTCTCTCCCTTCCTTCCTTCCTTCCTTCCTTCCTTCCTTCCTTCCTTCCTTCCTTCCTTCCTTCCTTCCTTCCTTCCTTCCTTCTTCCTCCCTGACTTCCCTTCACTCCTCTTTGCACTTTCACACTTTCTCATTATGTGAGGTCTCTCTCCTTGATTCCTAGGGCCATACATCACTTCTTAGCTCTGGAGAGTGTCACTACCCTCTGCCTCCCACTCCTCATCCTCTACCTTTAAATTTACAGTCAGATGGGTTATATATATGTTTACGACTAAATGTTACTTCTCCTATTAATCTGTCTGATATAAATTGCCTGATTAACATGTGAAGGACCCAGATGAGCCAGGGAAATTTCTTTTCTGTCCCTACATTTCCAGAAAGAAAGAAAGAATTACCTGTCATCTAGTATTTAGATGGGTTGGCAAGATTAGCACTATTTATTATGTTAAAACAAGTTCCATGGATAACTTAGAAGACCACATCTAACTGTGATTACACTACAATTAGAGACAAATTAACTAGTTGAATTATGTGGCTAACTTTTTGTTAATGTTTTCAAGTCTTACAACTGGCCTGAAAGCCATTTATCTGGGGATAAACTAATGGATCTGACCTTCAAACTTTTAAAAGATGGACGTATTTTTGCAACTAAGCTTGTTCAACTCATCCAGAGTGCAAAGGAAAATAGTATCACTAAGGAAACAAAAGATAAGTGCTAACCTCTCGATCAATATTTGGAGTTCATATGGGAATATAGAAATATTCCTCAGAAAATCTGAAAGAGTTGAAAAGGAGACAGAAGAGAGAGAACCTATAGGACATCTCATATTATGCCACGATTCTGACCCATGAAGTATCCAGGTCTCTCGTAACTAGAATAAACAGTGGTATGATTCCTGCATTAAAGCAAAAACAGCTGAAGCAATACAGAGTCTTTCTGCATTGGGAAACATAGCCCACAGATGAATATTTTCCAGTCTTATGTGTCAGATACAGGATATTTAATTGTTTGCTTAGGGATATAGTATTAATCACATTCTTTGTAAATCCCTCCCTCCCCCACTTTTAAAAAGTCTCACAGAAGCCTATAGCTCTCATGGGATGAATGGTTATCATGCTGGAAAACTATTAGAAGAAGGTTCTCATTTGAACATAAGCTCCGTGAAAAATATGAGAGAAGAGAGCATTTGTTTAGACTAGAGAAATGGATTGTTTTTCATGTTTTTTTCTAGAGCTGAAAATTAAACAATCCTAAGAAAGGGGTGGCAGCAAAATGAATATATAATGTCAAAATAGTGGGAGAAAGCTCATTCTAGTGTCTGAGGTTATCTTTTGGTTTGGTTATAAAGACAGAAAAATGAAGCAGGGTCAATTTTTCCTTCTCTCTCTAGAAATTAACAATAAAACATTTCAGATTTTAAGAGGAAGGAAGCAATGACAAGAAGGTTCTTCAAAAAAAGGGTTAATAAACTCTATGCTGAAGGAAAGAACACAAACAGCTTAGAAAGAATGTCATTGTTAAATGAGTTTGATGAAAATGATGTATAATGACCATAAATGCTGACAATATCTGCTTATATTTGACAAGAAACTGGAAATGAAAATAGACATTGTTATTCCAAGTAGAGAAAGCCAATCATGAGGTTCCCAAGTCTCTGCTCACACAACCACATTTTATCCTTCCACACTAGCATTTCCTGCCTCTTTCTCCCTTCTCAAGATATCTTTCTTTAATAATAATATCAACAACTGCCACAGCAACATGCACTTACTTCGTTTCTGTCATACATGGTGCACTTTTTTTTAATACTAAACCTAATCTTAAAGCTTCTGTGTTCACACACACACACACACACACACACACACACACACACACACCATCACCACCACCACCACCACCACCACCATGTTATTTCCGTATATAAGTGATAATGAGAAAATTGAGGCTGAGAGTTCTTCAAGGTGACTATGTCTTCAAGGTGACATAGTGAGCTAGTTCTGGAATTCAGGTATGACTGCTTTTAAAGCAGCCATTCTTTTCATAGTGCCAAGCAATTTTCCCACTAGCAGCACACTTTTATCTGTCTTTTCAAGTGCTCCTTAATTTTTCCATTTTAATGCAAAGAAATTTGATGTTAAAAAAAAAAGCTCCGCAACATTGACCTTTGATGTGGCACAATTGCATTTTTCATTGGTGCTATTGACATACAGGCTTATCTTAATTTCAGGTCTATAACATAATGGTAGATATTACAAAATGTTTATAGCAAATCTTTCCAGCACTTTGAATAATTACCTAAATTCCCTTTCCATGGAACAGGGATATGGTCAAAGGGCCGGGTGCACACTTTGCACACATCAGGCCAGCACCTGATTTCTGGCACCACATGGTTCCCTGACAATCACCAAGAGTAACCCATGAGCACTACTGGGTGTGGCCCCAAACCAAAACCCAACCCCTCCTAATAGTTTCCTTTAAATGAGAAATTTTAAGATTCATTCTCTTACTTATTTCAAATATGCAATTATAAACTGCAATCACCATGCTACCTATTACATTGATATGACCTCTTTAATTTTAGATTTTTGGTTTGAGGCACCATGATTTATAGTACTGTTAATTTCACGTATATAAAGTTCTAATTCCACACTGTCCATCAATGTCATCCCATGACCCCTTTATCTTAGAACTGAAATTGTCTATCTTCTGACCCCCTCCATTGTTCGGCACATCCATATCCTCTCATCTTTGCCTCAGTGAACTACCAATCTGTTCTCTATGTCATTGAATCTGGTGTTTATTTTGCTTTTTAGATGCTACATATAAATGAGACCATACAGAATTTGCTTTTTTTCCCTCTGTGATTTATTTCACTTGGCACAATCCTCCGCCCCCCACCCCCAAGATTCATACACATTGTCACAAATAGCAACATTTCTAGGTGCTGAAATGTTGCTTACAGAGACAAGCTTTATGTTTCATAGTTCCCTGATTTTATTAATTTCACTTTCTCAAAACTTTAACTTTTAGTTCTGAGAGTCATACAATCTAAATCCTCATACATAAGGTTCTAGTTCTTAATCTTAGGTTGAAAGCTTCTGTTTGATAGTTTAAAATTTTGTTTGGAGGACTGGCATATTACAATTTGTTTCCTTAATTTAATAAGAAAAAAAGAATGCTCTGACTCAAGCTTGACTTCC